AACTGGCAATAACAGTCAGTAACCCAGAGATAACAACTCCTGGTCCGGGAAGAGTCCATGCGAATCAGTGTCACGGGAGGGCAGATGCGCCAATGGTAGGACCGGTTACACAAATCTGAATGAAATGTATCCCATCTATTCCATTCGTATAAGCGTGCAAAGGCGGAGAGGAATATCGTTATGATAAAGCATGCGCCTTTGAGGGGTGGAGAACCAGATGTTAGCAAGGAAGTCAGCAGGTCGGTTATTCTCGCGGAAGATGTGCGAGATCCGAAAACGAATCGACCGAAGTGTGGATCTAATACGCATGAGAGGATGTTGAATCTGCCACGTGCCCTGTTGGCCAGAGGTCAAGAGAGTGATGGTTGCGGTAGCGTCTAGCTCTATCCAAATGTGAGAGGAAATCGTGGCATCAATCTGAATTCTGACCTGAAGCGCCTGAACCTCCGCGTTGTAGTTCGAGGAGGCCCGAAGAGGGGCATGGAAAGCAGTAATAAGAGTACCGCTATGGTCCCTAATCAGACTCCCACCTCTTGAGGCTCCGGTAAGTCGGTCAAAAGATCCGTCAGTGTTTAGCTTAACCCAATGAGGCTCGGGTCTCAGCCAAACAACAACTCTGGGTCGTGAATGCTGAACATGCGACAGTGGAGGTGGTTCAATGCGATGAGGTGGCATGCAGCTTGTCCAGTCTCTCGAAGTGACTCTGCCAGAGCAGTGAGGAGAGATATAAGTCTGTCAACCTGCAAAATGATATGAGAACACAAAAAGGTAATATTCTCATGCTTTGCATTATTCCTTCTGTCCATGTAGACCAAAGGATCAGATAAGAAATAAGGAAGCCCACGTGCCTATTGTGTGTACTCTGTGTGAAAAACTCAGAAGCTCAAAGAAGTTATCTGTGGTGGGTAGGGGTACATATAACTGGTATAATGCTCTCACTCTCTCCTCGTAGTATCGCTCTCAAGAAACAAATGGCTAAAGGTCTCAGTTTGAAAAAGCTCGGTCTCAGCACAACAATAGCAACGTGAGGGGAAGGAGAACCCCTCGCGTGCATCACAGTATCAATCGGTAGGCGGCGCAGAAGGAGGCGCCATAGGAAAACAGAGATGGTCGGAGTAAGTAAGTTGGTCCAGATAGGTTAGGCCGGTCACCCAACTGTACTTCCCCTAATCCGAGGTCGTAATGAATGCACCCAAAGATGTAAGTCTCTACCTCATACTGTCAATACCGTCCTCCGAGATGGGTATCTGCTGGATCTAATCTATCACCTAGTCAGTAAAGACCACTCTAGTAGCCAGAATGCACTCTAACCTATCTCTATCCTAACCTCCATCCGTCCACAAGTCCTTCACCTGCAGAAAAGGAAGGTGGATGACTTGTCAAGTACTCGAAAGGGGGACCTCACCAAACCACCACCCACCCCAAAAGATAATGTCCTCCTCACTCATAGTCCAAAAAATGTGCTTCTGAGCACGTCTACCAACTATGGTAAGTCGCCTCCACTGTCTGCTATTGCGGGCAGTGGCCGACACCCTACAGGGGTGGGCAGCACTTCTAGGACAATATTTTCGATAAAGATACTGGGCCCAAAGAGACTTACCCTCCCTAAAGCGCCACCACATCTTATAAGAGAATGTAGTGACGACGTCCGAAAAGCGCCGGATCCCGAGTTTCTCCTCAGAGAATGCGCGGCAAACGGAGTCCCACTTCAACCAACTTGCCCCCTCTCTGGGAGTCCTTCTCATGCCCCCTAAAATAACGAGCCAAGATCTAATCTAGCTCGTGAATCATAGACTAGTGGGGGTCAGGGACCGTAAGAAGGTGAAGCGGAAGGGCGCTGAGGGCACTCTTGATCAGAGCAAGCCGCCCCCCAAAAGAGAAGTTTCCGTGAGACCAGCCGGAGATCCAATCAATCATCCTTTGCCTGACATCTGCAAAGTAATCATGCGAGAGATGACCATTGTACAAGGAGCACCAAGATAGGTGATAGGGAGGTCTCCACGCGCAAAACCAGTGCGCTCGTGGACCAAATAGGCCACTGGTCTACAATGTGATGATCAAGGGTGAAAGTGTTATTTTACACACTGACATGCTGACCGCAAACCGAGCTATAGTGCCCTAGGAGGCGCATAAGCTCGAAGGTTATTGCCTCAGTGGACAATCAGGGAGTAGTGCAAATGATTAATGGCCTGCATGATGGCTTGGGGATGCATGGAAGTTTAATCAGAGGGGTACGGGACCTGATTGCTCGGGAATGGACTGTTCAACTGTTGCATGATTGGCGCGAGTCGGATTTTGCTGCTGATTATCTGGCTTCTTTAGCTTCAACCAGCCCCAGTGGTCTTCAATATCTGGATGTGCCGCCAATGGGATTGAAACCGTGGCTAGA